GAGAGGGGGGGGGGGGTGTGTGGGGGACAGTTTGTCTTGCGCTTGGACAAAATGCCGCCTTTTTTTTACTGCCAAAAGGGAACACGTCCCCGGCGAACCGTGGAACCCCTGTGCCTCTACAGTGCACACCCCTCTCCACCTTTCTGTCCCTCATTTGCCCTACAGCCCCCCCCCTCACCTCGCCGCCTCAATCACCGCTGCCCCCGAACTTGACGGTAATGTATCATACCTGGTGCCATGTATGATCCCCGAATACTGTCCGAATTATTGGCACCTTCGGTTACCCCGCACGATTAGCCCAGTGGACCCTAAGGTTTAAGAACAGTACGGCACGAGCTCCAGTATGGAAAACAGTGACGAGCTCCGGAACACGGTGTTACGACTACATACATACTGTACCCTTGGTACGGCATTTACCGAGCAAGGAGTTTTTCGTACAACAGTTATTGAGCCCGGTTCTTTATTGGTCATTGGCAGGGCTCTCCAGCCAGGTGCAGTTCATTTGGCATGCGAACGGGGAAAAGCACGAAAGTAGTAGTGCGGACTGAGGGTAGTCTACATTCCATTTCGGGCAGTATTCCACGGCGAAATGAAGAGTGTTGCTTCGATTGTCCATAGTGTACGTCAATGATGTATTGACTCCATTCATCATTGAGGCCAGTCTGCTGTGCGGGCCGTCTGCGTCGTGCACAAGAAGACCATATGTCGAGTTGATTGGAGTTTCAGTAATAATCCTGATTACAGCATGGGGATTGCGAAATGGGTTTCGGTAGCCGAATGCCCTGGGGGATATTTCATCACAGGACACGAGTGGCAGAGTACGGGCCAACGATTTTCCGAAAAATTCCTATACAGTATTACAGTATCGGGATAACCGACTGTCGTTTGAGAGAGCAGAATGCGTTTTGTGGGTGAAAAGAGGGGGGAGGGGGGTGAGAAAAGATGGTCTAAAAGAGGCAAGGTAGGAAAAGTGGCGGAGCTTGCTGGGGGGGAACTGGGAACCCTCTGTGTACGCTGCTCCACCTTCACGGCCCACGTCGCATCGACTGCACGAGGATCCGCCTCTGCCTGCTTCCGCACCCTCTCGCCCCCCTCCATCTGTCCCAGACCTTGCAGCCCTGAAGAACCGTGCTACCTTCCTTCCTCCAGCACTGTCCAATTCAAATTTCTTTCCATCTGCCAATGCCTGCACCGTACTCCCTGCTCGCGTCATTGGCCACCCTCCCCACAAGGTGCTGCGTCGCTCGCTATTCATGTACCTCAACGTCACATCTCGCCTCAGCCCCAACGCCGCCTCCGCCTCTTGCTGGAATATTGCCCCTCCCAACCTTCCCCGTTACGTACAGTACACTGCCCAGCTTCACCTTGTTGCGTCACTCCCCGCACCGTCACCTGCTCACCACACCGTCACTATCCCCCCTGCCAGGGGGGATAGTGACGGTGTGGTGCGCCCTTGCACAACCCCCCTCCTCCCCCTTCCCGCGCCTACCGCATACGTCATCACGGTCCAGCAATTCCAGCTCTTGCACGCCAGCCCCCCTCCCCCGCCAGCTTCCTTCCACTCCAATAGCTTGTTGTGCATCCCGCGTATTGGAACTCACCAATTCCTCTCTCTCTGCCTCTGCCTTCCCTTTAGATACCTCTTCACGCACGATACACGGTACACTGCCTGCTTTCCGTACTGCAGGACCAGCAACGTTGTATAGGCAACGTTTTATGCAATAGTATGAAGCCTCGCTGTTCCTGCGCAATTTCCCCGATGGCCTGGAAACTGCCAGACCTCTAACGGTCACGGTCATAGAAACGTCCATCCCTGTAGAGCTCACTTGTCACAAGTGTCTCGGCACAGCGCTTATCCCTAACGTACTAGCCTCTACAGTGTAGAGGCTAGTACGTTAGGGATAGGCTTCTCTGCAAGGAGGTGTAGAGTCTACACCTCCTTGCAGAGAAGCCCCTGAAGCCCCTGTAGTACCGTATTCCCTGTGCATCAACGATCAACTGTACCTATTGGCTCCCTGCAGTATGACAACTTTTCCAGCGACTATCACTGGGGGTCCTATTTTTTCAGTTCCTCATGCACTTCCCCTCGTTATTTATTTCACCTTGATACTCTCCAGTGTCCTGCACCACTTAACAAGCTTTCAATGCCACACTCGTTTGCATTTTCGTCTTGGGACGCCCGATAACATGTGATCTGTTTTCAGCAGCGCAATGCCGTTGATATTAAGGAAAGCGTACCGACGCCCTCTGCGCCTGATACGGTTCCCATCATACAGGCAGTGCGTTTAAAGAAAATATGTCCATTTCTGAATGCATCATTCATTTCTAGGCTATACACTCCGAAAACAGGTCTCACAAGGTAACCTGTGAGGTAATACTGTACATTGCTCACATCGCTGAACCGATATCCGACAGAAAAAGACGATTTCGCAACAGCCATACTGTACGTAGTAATGGAAGACAGTGGAAGACGACTCCACGATCACTATTGAGACTGAAAGTCAGCTTGCTAAACCGCTCAGTGCAACAAGTGTGTTGACAAAGCGCAGCCGCAGGGATTGCAATCAATGCACCTGCCCTAAGAAATCGTTGAAAATCGAAAGAGACAGGCTTCACACACCACCTCGTTGTCGTTTTTCGCAAGGCGGTGGAGTACTGAGTCAGCACTGCTGATCAAAGACTTTAGAGACGTTTGTGCGGATGGGCACACACCAAAATACATCTAACCAAATCGACACCAGACAATCCAACGCTACGATAACTACACATAGCTGGATCCTTCGTCTGTCTGATTGGGCGCTTGGAGCAATGTTATGCACGATCAGCAATCCAACGCTACGGTAACTACACATAGCTGGATCCTTCGTCTGTCTCATTGGGCGCTGGGAGCAATGTTATGCACGATCAGCGGGGTACTACCGCCTGCCATCAAGTATGCTTGTCACAGAGAAGGCCCCACGAACTGTGCTCCACGCAGAGGACTGCAGCGGTGCAATACTGCGCGTATGAAACATGCGAACTTTAGGTCAATGAAAGAAACGCTTATGAGCGGGATCGCAGTCCACATCGCAAACTAGTCGACAAACCGCAGAAAAACGGTACCTTTACGAAGCGGTCGGCTTAAGCTCAGAACCCTCAACCTTACGACGCTCTTCCAAGCGAGCGGCCTTGCGCTCCCTGGCGGCCTTATTCTTAATCCTGCGGGCCTCGAACTGGTCGGCGAGGGCCTGGCTACGGGCCTTCTCGGCCTTGGCCTTGTGGATGCTTTCCATCAAGACGCGGCGGTTCTTGAAGACATTACCCTTGCAGCGGAGGTAGAGCTCGTGGTAGAGGTAGCGGTCGATCTTCTTCGCCTCGCGGTACTTGCGTAGGAGGTTACGCAGGACGCGCTGGCGACGCATCCACAAGACCTTTTGCGGAAGACGGGCGTCACGTGTTCCAAGACGCTTACCGTAGCCGCTATGCCGGCCCTTGCGCTTCGCCGCTTGGTTCATGCGGACGCGCGCGCGGGAGTGTACCGTGACGGGCTTCTTGATGACGAAGCCGTCGGAGACGAGCTTGCGAATATTTTGCCCTGCAGAGGCGAATGGATTCGGGAGGATGAGTAACGTGGTTAGATTCCGTGGCGTAGCGTGGACGGAGTATAACATGGTTTTCATATTGACGGGTTATCGCGAGGCGATTAGGTGCGTGAACGACTAGCGGCAACGCTAAAGAGAGGGGCGGTGCCGTGGTTTCCAAGGCTTGCCCGTGGGTAGGGCGGTAAATGGCGGGTTCTCGCGACTTAGACGCTGAGCAAAGGAAGGGGCGGGATTTCGGCTAGGACACGAAAAGGAAGGGGACAACGTACTGGAATTGGCCATAGAGATCTCGTTGACTTCATTGGGATCGAGCCAGACCTTGTTCTTTCCGCATCCGAGAACGGAGGCAGCGAGCCTCTTCTGAAGCTTGAGGGACACCATTGCGGTTGAAAGCGGGCGGACGCGACGGCAAGGAGGAACGGAATGCCCGTGTAGAGATAGGGCTTCGCAAATGGTCTACGAAAAGGATCCGAGAGCGATTACAACGCTGCGTGGGCAGGGTGAGATGGCAATGAGATGGGGGCCATACCGACGGCGCCCGGATTGTTGTTAGCGGACGGCGCTGCCCTAAATTAGTAAATATGGAGAGTAATTGTACTAGTTGGTGGCAGAATTGTTGTGTAAGATAGTGTAATGGATTGCGTGAGGTGTCCACGTGTGAAGGTGTATGAATCGGGATTTTGGGTAGCCAATGAGAAAGGGTGGTGATGTCTCTTTTCCGGTGGAAAAATAGGAAAGTTATGTTTGAGCATGCAAGACAGAGCGATTAGGATTTTCAGTCTCGAGAAGGAGATGAGAGGAAAGGCCGATGGGCCGGTTGTGCGCGAGTGAGTAGTTGTAGCGGGGCAAAAAAATTCCAAAATGTGGAAAAGGGGCTGTTTGAGTATTCGGGGATGTGCCGTTCTGCGGTTGGAAGAAAGGCAGGTACAGATGTTTTGTGATGGGTTGTGAATTGCGTTAAGGCCAAGGAAGTTTTTCGGATTAAAAAGGGGAGGCAGGTAGGAAGGAAGATGGTGCGGGCGGGAGTTTATGCTTTTGTTAGAGGGACGGATGATGCGGTCGGGGATAGGATTGGCTGACATGAGTGGCTTCACGGTCATGCTGTAAGGGGCTGGAGGAACTCGCAATCTCAGGCGGTGGAATTTCTACGGTGGCGGTGGACGGAGGGGGAATGGGGGACCCATCGGGGGCGGAATGCGGGGGTGATGGATTTGGGGATGGGCGGTCCTAGGAGGGAGGGGGGATTCGGGATGTGATTGGGCAGAGGGCGGAGTGCGGGACGCAGGTGTGGCGGAAGTGGCGGTGTTGGAAGGAGCGATTTGGGGCCCGAAGTTGGAACGGGATGGAAGGGATCTGGATCGCGCGAGGAAGGACGTGTTCGGAATCCGAAAGAGGGTCTAAGTAGCCAATCAGAGCGCAATCTGGAGCGAGTCAGAAGCGGTGTCGCCGCGGCTTCAGCAACAAAATCGCCCTTGTCTCATCGTATTTCCACTTTTCGACTTGTTTTCGCACGATTACCCAATCCTCGCCTCCTCGCCACTCGGCCTCCCTTTTCAACTCCCCCGCCCCGATTCAACTCTCATTTTCCTTCCAAGCTCCTTTATCCCCTCCCCCCCCCACCCGTCCCTTACCCTTCCCCCTCCCCCCCCCCCTCAATACATCCCGCAAGCCCGCTACACAAACCCAGCCAAACCCCGCTTTTATCCCGCTTCACTACCCTTTCCAGCCCCATTATTTCGGAGTCGACCTCCGTCCTACACCCACTTGCGAAATCTACACCCACTTGCGAAATCGCCACTCAAAACCTCATCTTCCTTGCTCCTCACATACACACCATCTCACCTCACATCCACTTCACGTGGCCTTAATCACCTCAACCACACTTGTTACTTTTCACCCTGCAACCACCATCGAAACATACCTCCCACTTTTTCAGACAACTCCTCAACCCTCTTTCGCACACCTTTCTACACACCCATTCGCCGTATATTTACCTCTCCCCGGGCCTACCCCCAAGAGGAATGCCGTAACTGGCTTCCCCATCCCTCCGCGTCGGGCTTGAATAGTCTCACATCCTCGCCCAACCTCACTTCCCTGAATATTCATCCACTCCCATCCACGTCACCGACATCCACTATGGGTAAGAAACGCTTCTATGACGCCGTCCGCGATCTCATCCGCGACAGCCACGAACCCATCGAAGAGCCTGCCCGCACTCGCCCGCGCCTCTCCATCGCCTCACTCCTTACCGCTCCGCAGACGTGCGCTGCCTGTTGGGACCCAATCTCCAACCATCACCATCCTGTTTTCTCCTGTGATAATTGCTTGAATGCATACTGCCGCTCGTGTCTTGCTGCATACGCCCGCACCGCCCTGAAAGACCGCCAGATGCTGCCGCTGCGATGCGCTGGTCAAGAGTGTCGCGCTCCCGTGCCGCTGTCGGGGCTCCGTGGCCTGCTCAATGAGGAGGAAATCGGGCGGCTGTCGCGCTTCCAGTGCGAGCTTCTGGGAAGCCACGAGCAGAGCGCGGACGACGCTTCAGACAAAGAATCGACGCAAGGGGGCACCGCTAGCGAGGGCGGGGATGACAAGCTGGAGGAATTGATGGGGACGTTAGGGTGGCGACGGTGTCCGGATTGCGGGACAGGCGTGGAACGGACGCATGGGTGCTCGCATATGAGCTGTTTGTGCGGAGGCGAGTTTTGCTACTCGTGTGGGGAGCGATGGGGTATTGGAGGGTTTGGGTGTCCGAGAAGATGTGGGCTGCCGTTTGGACAGGCCGGGGTGTTAGGGTTGCTGCCGTTGCCGGTGCGGTTTGAGACGCTTTGTGATGTGGTGCGAGCGAGGATTGCGGCGCTACTGGAGGACTTGCAGGCGCACTTGGAAGAGAATGGTGAGGAGGCAGCACGGATGGCAGGGATTGTTGACCAAAGACCCAGGGTTGCTCTTAGAGGGTTGCACGGGCCTGAGTTTGGGGGGCTTGGTGTGACGACGAGGATGCAGACGAGGTTAGCTAGGAGAGGTTTGAGAGAGGCGGAGGAGGTTGAAAATGGTCAGGAGGGACGGCCGGCTAAGATGCGATTGAGAGCGCTGGTGCATCCAAGTACAGAAAATAGGCTTTGAGATTTCAGTGAGCCGGTGGTTGCCATTTTCTCGCAGTTTTGACAGTCGATGCCAACGCGAAGATGCGATACCGGTCGAGGGCGTGACGAGAAGGTTTTCGTTGCGGGGGCATTACTCTTAGCTAAATAGCATAGGTAGAGAGAGCAAGGAGACACGGATGGAGAATAAGACAAGTTTGGACGGAGTAGGTTGGCGCGACATGCAGATCGAGGTAGCAAAGGGGGATGCGAATTTATGAAACGGGAGACTTTCAAAATGGTTCAACCTCGTCAGCATTGCACGTGTACGCGTGTATTGCTTCAATTCGTGTATGCGAGGTGTAATCTGTAAATTCCGCTGCTCTTATCCAATGGTCCCCGCGCATTTTCCTGTTTACTGTTATATTTGCCGAGGTGAGCTGTCGCATCGTTGTTCTGCGTTCCATCTTTCCGATGGTTGAGTATGGAGACAGCCACGTCGGAACGGACGACCGCTTTGACACTTAAAACCTCACAACGGCCCCCGGGAGAGACGACCCATCCACCCACATAAACTAGACTCGGTGCACGTACGAAGGGGAAGCGCGTCCCCTCGTCTGTCACCGCCTCCTTCCCCGTCCTCTTTCCTTGCGTGCCTGCACTCGCACTCGCACTCGCACCCACGCCCGCGCCCATCCGCGCCCGCGCCGCGCCCTCCCTCCCCTCACCATGACCACGATCAACAAGCGCGCCGTGCTGTCCGGCATGGCACCCAGCATGGAGCGCGAGCTGCCGGAAGAGTGCCCCGAGTGCGAAAGCGACGACATCATCGAGGACTGGGCCCACGGGAACGCCGTCTGTCGCTCCTGCGGCCTCGTCGTCCAGGACCGTTTGCTCGACCTCGGCACCGAGTGGCGCACCTTCACCGCTGAGGAAGGCGACGACCCCAACCGCGCCGGACCCGCGGCTAACCCCCTTCTAGAGGGCGAGCAGGGGACCAGTATTGGGAATGGTGCTAGGGGAGGGGGGCAGCTTAATAAGGCACTCAATCGTGCTCAGCAGAGAAATGCCATATCTGACGCCGATAAAGTCATGATTGCCGTCATGGGTAGGATTGATAGGTTCTGCGAGCGTCTTTCATTGACGGGGTCCATCTCGAAGAGGGCAAAGGAATTGTTTAAGAGGTACCGCGACCATTTGACCCTCAAGAAGACCGCGTCCAATCCGGATGTCTTCACGAGATCCCGCCCGTTGCGAGATGAGGAAGTCAGCGAGATTATTGCCTCCAGCTTATTCATTGCATGTAGGAATGAGAAGGCCGCGCGTACGTATAAGGAGATCTGCGGCTTGACAAAGGTCCCGAAGAAGAACGTGGGCGCCACGGTCAAGAAGATGGAGCTCGTGCTGGAGGGCGCGAAGACCACCTACGTCAGGGGGACTGATGACTTTGTTACTCGATTCTGCAATCTCCTCGACTTGCCGAGGGATGTTATTAATGCCGCCGATGCCGTCGCCAACGCGCTACAGAACCAGGAGGGCGTATACGGGAAGACGTACACCACCGTCGCCGCTTCCTCGATTTATGTTGTCACCCAGCTCAGCGACGATAAGCACGTACGCACGGCGAAGGAGATCGCCGACGTTACGGGCGTGGCCGATGTCACCATCAAGACCACGTACCGCCTCATCTATCCTTATATTAAGAAAGTCCTGCCCAAGGATTTCAAGCCTGCAAAACCGCTGTCGCGACTTCCGCCGCCCTAAGATTTTCAGCCCAGGCGTAGATGGTTATCTTTTTAGGGACACGGGAATTAAATGCACTCATCGCCGTAAAGTCTGCATACCGGACGCAGTTCATCATATTTTTTAGGAACACAAGGTTGTCATGCACGGATTGCAACAAGCTGGGTCATGAAACCATTGGGGGTTGTATTGTACGAGCGCGTTGTATTCGTGTAGGGTGCTTCACTTAAACTGCTTACTTTGCCCTTATGTCGATGTATTTCTGCTCGTTGGGATTGTAGTCTCTCCAAAACCGAAGCAAGAAAACGCCCTCTTGCCTATCAAAACTGTCTTAACTTGCTGGTTTGTTCGCCTGGCTCTCATTGCATCAATTAGTGTCTTGACTCAGGGCAGGCTTGAGGTTCAGGCTTACGTTGACAGAAGGGCAATGCAACAATCACTGACAGGTAACTAGCGCGTGCTGGTAGAGAATATAGAGCAAACCAGACGAATCATTTTGACGAGGTGTCCTCGCTAGCTAGAAGCATAAGCTACTTCGTCAACAGAATGCAGGCTATGTTTTCGCCGGAATCATTCATTCGGTTCTAACCACAGCACAGAATGCTGAATTGCTCATCAGCAAGATGCATGATGACGCTCGAGGGCTTGGACGTCTCCTCAGATGATGGGGAACAGGTAAAGGACATGCGCATATACGCTAAAAAGAGCAACAGACGCAATGATAAGAGCAGGAAGGTAAATCAGCCGATACCCTGGCGCAGAGCAGCTGATACATATGTTTTCATAACGTGATATTATGTCTTCAGAGTGCAGGGTACTAATCGATACTTATGTACTAACGAAGAAATAGAAAGGCGTAGAAGCCAACTAATCTCGCACTCAAAAGCACGGTGCCCTGTTTCATGATGGTGACGTTGATATTGTAATATTTGGATCGCCATAGCTAGCTTGCAGCAGTTGGTAGCAATACCAACTGCCACAAACTGATCTTTCCTTGTCTAACAAGATGTCAAGTAAAACGAAATACCGAGTTGTCATGAAGTCGTTGATTTCATCGGTCCTGAAGTTTTGCAAAAGCGCAGTTCGAGTATTTCTTTCCTGCAGTAAATACATGGAGACATTTGCTCCATCGACTTCACTTCTATTAATCTTCGTCTTGCTGGAGCACTTGGCCTGGCCGTCCTCGCCAAAAGATAGAAACGGATGCAATCTGTCAAATTGGCGTTGATGAGTGCAGGCGTTGGGCCATGCCCCTTGCAACTCTTTCCTTGACAGACCTCTTTCTATATATCTTGTTCTTTTCCTCTTGAGTTGGGCCTTGAGCAGCGAGGCAGCTCTCGAAGCGGCCATATGCTTCACTTTGCCAGGCCAAGGTCAAACAATATCCGAAGTTCAACTGTTCTTGGATATCCCTGTAACAAATATTTTGTGAAATGGTTCAGGCATGTCCCCTAGTGTGTGACGGTATACGGTGGTCGGTTAACTGCGATCAACGTCGCATTTTTAGCATTCCCTTCGGATGGGGCTGCTCCGGTTGTATTGTGCAGACGCATCTTGACAACTTAAAGTCAAACAACTGGAAAGGCACTTCTTCAGATGTTTTTCTTCAGTTCTTGTGCTCCTTTTCGAAGGGAATTATTGGTTTGCCGGTAGCGTTTCTTCCTCGCCGAAGGCTTCCATTGTCTCCTCTGATTCAAACTTTAAATGGCAGGGGGGCCGGGTAAAGTGAAAAAAGAGTGTTTTCGAATCGGCTACTCGTTCAAAATCTTGTCTTCGGGTGTTCCTGAGGCAGAGTTACATGTCAAGTCACCGCATGACTCCTTCTTCATCTCAGATCAAACTATTCAACTATTCGCCGCCCCCTCACGAAGCGCCCGTCATGAAGGGAATCATATTGAGAACGATGAGCCCTACCAAGAGCTTCCGCTTTATTTCGACCCCCTCCTCCCAACATGTCGGCACAACAATTCGCATACCGTTCCGCTTCGCAATCTCAAGAAACATGAGGTACGGAGAAGACACGTTGGCCTCAACACATGCACGAACATCAAAAATAAGAAATGTTTATTTACTAAATGCTCTTCTCGCGATACGGCTGTGCCATTGCAACAACATACCATAGATGTCTTGCCCTGCAAACCCTGACAGACGTCGTCGCGAAAAGAATAGCACCGGCTTTTTTAATATCTCCATAATGACACCGGCAGCAGGAGTTCGTCGCTCGCCCTAGTGCATTCACAAACATGGATCTTGAGGAGACCTCCAATCCTCGACGTCATCGTCTTGAACTATCAAAACTGTCCTCGAGACCTGAATCCTTTCTCCACAAGTTTCCTGCATGTTCGTCTCACTATCACGAATCGCCTTACTATTTACACATCATCCAGCCATTCTCTCTCTCGACAACTTTTTCGGCTAGAATAAAAATGAGCATTTCCCTGCCAAGTGCGAGCAAATTGGTTCAGTACAGCTTGCTTGTTTACCCGCATCTAATATACAAAACGCCTTCCGTCCCGTTATCGCGCTCACTTGCTTGACAGTGCTCGAGCACATACCGTGCTACACTTATTACAGCTCTGTGAATTCTGCTCTATCCACACTGCCTTCCGTAAGAAGTGTCGCCAGCACTGGTTCATTGGCGCGGTTTTCAAGGTGGTGTCCGAAATCATCGAGGCCTCGTTGGCGGTCTCTGTACTCGAACCAAATAAGCATGACGAGGAGAATGCCAGTTTGGATACCATCGGGAATATTATTCGCCCAAACAGACCAATGCATGCCCATCGCCGAAAGATAGATGGAGTAAGCCACATCCATAATAACAGACGCCAAAACCCAACCCATGCTCAAGGCGCCCTTGTGGCCAAAAGCATATGTAACAAGAATTTGTGGAATCCACATGAGGGCGTTAAACAAGGCCGCAAGGAGGCCGCACAGGTGTGCATATGATGCGACAGTCTCACTATTGACTCCAAACCCCATTAAAAGGACTCCGGCCGCGACTGTGAATACTCCCGCAGAGACGAGAAAGGCGTTAAAGAACATGCGTGCTGATAGGGTACCGTAAAAGAAGGAGCCGACTAGCTTGCGCTCCTCCGAGTCGACAATGTCCTCTGACTCAACGTGATACTTCAGAAACCAGTACCACATCCCTATCGACAAGACGGCAGAACCACACATCTGCAATAATGGCTGGTCCTTGATAAAGCATCGATACACTCCATCTTTGCACGCAAACGCTTTGGCGGAACCGATGAGGAGGATATCCAGGGCGGCGAGATACGTATACAAACTGCTAAAAAAGAGAAGCCAGGGCGAGACGCCGACGACTGAGCGGTCGACGGCCATCTCATAGTGCTGAGGGAGGAACTGACCGAGTTGGAGGAAGGTGATGAGCAGGCCGACGGTGTCGCAAGCTAGCGTAACGCATTGCTTGGCATCGGCCATGAAACGGATTGCGAGTCAAGCGGGGGCGGCTTGCGGGTTATCGGGGAGGACAAAGGGTTAGGTGATGGTGTGGGTAGGAAGGAGGGGGTTGGCCGGCCGGCAATGCCGATGCCAACGATCTGGAAGAATGCGGGGTCCTGGACAGCAAAGGGAGACGCGGCCAACTCATGGGCAAGGTTCGCGCGAAGACAGAAGCTGGACCTGCTCCGTTAGCAAACGAAGGTGGGCGGGCGTCCCAGGAAAGTGGGAGGTTGGAGTGGACGGGGGTACGAGTCAGTGGGGTTGCCCACGAAACAAGCCTCTGAAGGAGGCCGTCTAGTTCCGTTGAGGGCGTTGAGGGCGACCCATAAGCGCTGGTGGCAGATTTGTATTTTTATATTGTTTTCAAGGCCCTACGGTGCCATCATGTGCCTCATCTGCACAACGGCCCCACACAAGCTGCTGAGACCTCTAGAGAAGTGCCGTGGCATTGCTGGTGTGGCAGCAATGCAATCTCCGCTCTGGTGGGGCAACCGCACCACACGCTGCGTTACGATGACATTGCCTAACCCGATCATCTTGACTACCTTGCGATTCTTCAATTCAACCTGCCGTTCTGGCCACAGGGACGAGACAAGCATTTTCAGAGGCGGGTACCACAATAACTGAACGACTTGCCACTTCCCCACGCGCTAATCTCCAGTGCCCCAGAGATGATCCCGACAACAAGACGACGAACCTTCCAGGTCGCCAGCAACTTTAACTATAATCCAATCCCTCATCCATGTTACACCATCATACCTATTATACCACCGCTCAGCGTTAGGAAGACGCTCGCGGTGATGAATAGTAGTCGTAAAGTCTCTTTGCACCGTACGCAACCACTCCAACTGCAACTGCTCCCGCTGCAACCTTCAAAGCCGTCGACATTGCAGAGCCTTCTTCCTCCCTGCCGTAGTAGTCTGGACATGCGACCTGCGGATACAGCCCAACCCCAAGGAGATCCTCATACAGGTTCCCAAATTCGGCTTCCTTCACATCTACGCGAACGGGCACAGGAATCATCTGTTCCTCGCAAAACCTGTCCGCCTCGTCTAGCACCCCCGATCCCGTTCCAGGCCCGACTCCCGCAACGAACACCACCGGGATGCGAATATCAGGTTTCCGATTCTGTAGTGCTTCATATAGTACTCGACACTTCTCATATGACGCCTCTGACTCCGCATCAAACACCAAACATACAACGTCGATTTTCTCAAGCCTCTCGTTCGACAAAACAAGGGACCCGTCGTCATTGTCCGACTCCGGCACATAATGCATCACCAGCGTCTTCTTTTCTGATTCCGATTCCACTTCAGCGGCTGATGCCACATACGGTTCATCCTTTCCTTCAGCTCCCATGTCCACCAGGCCACGGATCACATCCGTCTTCAAACCTCCCTCACTCCCAAGTAGAGCTATGTTTAACACATTGCGGCTCACAACCCGTGCGTACCTGTCCCGTTTCCTCGATTTCGTTACGGTCAGTGCACTAGGCAACGGATCTTGATATCCGAGATACAGTAGTGTAAGCATCGCATCCTGCGGACAATCCATCACGAACATAGCCCACCTCGCCATGAAGCCGTTCAGGGTCATGTGGTCCGGTTTTCCCTCCTCGTCGCAAGACTCCGTCAGCCTTCGGCCGCGAATCTCATTTACGTGTGCGAATGCCCCCTCCGGACATTCTCCGAAGAAGCTCTTCAAATCTGATGGTGACAGCATTCCGTCCTTGTCTTTGTCATGCGCCGAAAACAAATCCTTAATGAAACCTTTTCCTTTCGCACTCAATTCCACGCTCTGGTCCGTCCCAACTGCTAGCTCATCCGAGGGTCCTAGGCTTAGGCGCATTTCATCGTTGTAACCAAACTTCCGAAGAACGATCCATGTGGTTTCAAGGCGTCCTTTCTGAACGAAGAGGGTATGCAGGAAAATGAAACCTTCTGCCGAAAGTGATCCATCTGCGTTCAGGCCATTCCTTGGTCGGCTCTCCTTGACGACTTTTTTCACTCCATCCAGTTCTGCAGGCTTTAGATGGACGTTGAAACAAGTGAATTGAAAGTCGTTAAGTTCCTTGTCATTCAGTCCGCCATCGCCATCTTTGTCGCAGATTTTGAAAATTCGTCGCAGAGCAGCTGACGCTGGAGGCTTCAGCGATTGTGTTTCCACATCGTAAACGGGGCCAGTAGGATACAAAACTGCTTTTTGTGCGAAGTAGAACACCTCGGAGATGTTGGAGACAGTTTTTGCGGAGCATTCAATGCAAACATCAACTTCGCGGAAGTCGTCCATGATCGGTTTGATGAATGCTTCCATCTTTGCGGCAGCGTTGGGATCAGATATGCCTCCTCGTTTGTCGATCTTGTTTCCGACGAGAATGACTGGGACTTTAAGATTCATAGATCTGAACTTGGGAAGCCAATGCGACGGAATGCGCTCGGTTGATTCTTCACTATCGACAGTGTATACCAGGACTACAACATCAGCCTGTCCGAGCTCCTCCTCAACTTTGCTGCTCTGGCTCGGAGCACCCGGAGTGTCAACTATAGAAACATGCACGCTCTCTGGGGTGACTTCCTTTGGAACGACAAGGACAGGTAGGACCGGAAGGACATCTTCTTCAAACGTCTCGGTGATCAGTACCTCGATAATTGATGTCTTGCCCACCTTTTCTGAAATTTGTCGGAATAACCAAAGTGGACACACATACGAGCGGTCAGAACATGAGTGGAGAAATCAAAGAAAAGAGATTGCAGACGTTTGGCCAGTTCGCAATGTTCAGCCGCGCTTTGAAAGTGGCGAGAGCCAATTCGCCGTACGTCAAAAGAGTTGAAACTTACCATCACCAACCACTACGATGCGAACGGAGTCTTTCATATTTAACGCAAAGTCGGTTACGGAGATCGGTCCTCAGATATTTAACGCTGGATTCAACCGTGTAGGAGTAAGCAAGACGAGATCACTTTTGCGTTCTTCCTCCCGTGGCAATCTGTAGAGATCCTGTAAATCTTCTAATGCCAGGGTCTTGACGTCGGAGATGCGGGTAGGCGTATCGACAAGCGGTAAGAAACGTAGGCCGGGACACGCGCAGGTCTGCCAAGCACGATCGAACGAAGCGAATGCTACGGACAGAAGTTTCTGTTGTTCCCAACCCAAAAAATTTCTTGACGAGACTGCATTCTAAAAAAACGAAACAAATTTCCCAAAGTGGACGCCGGCCGACGCACACGGCCAGTACACGTGTAACAATACACGTACTACTACGTGTCTTCTCTGCGCTTTGCTCTGACACGACAGACCTCGATTTCTTGGTCGGAATCATGAGCCCAGCATCTCTTGAGTCTAATGTCTATCCGACGACGGTTTGTCCGCCAGCAAAGCACATGTCTCTAATATTAGCAACCGGAAATGCGACTGTTGCTCACACTAGGATGTTTTGAGCGCAGTGCCTCTAGTGTCTAGGTGACAAATGGCCTCATATGAGGTCACTTTTCAACTTAATTTTTCTCGACTTGTGCTAGCTGAACAAAATGGAAAAATATACTCTCGCCACCGCAGTTGACTTCTGCGCTGTGGAAGGGTGGAGCTTGGTGAGATCTGCACGTCCTTTCCAGGCTTTTTGAGAATACCTAAAGAAGAAGCTTTTTTAAAGAACATCAAAACGTTTTTTGTTGATATCTTCGAAACCAAAACGCCTGGATATTTTAAATTTAAAATATCATCCGATTGTTGAAACTATATTAGATTCTTAGTATTTCTGTGTATTCATAACTGCTATCCCGATGTTTTGCAGGAAGCTTTTACCGAGGGAATATTGGTTAAAGAAATGGTGTCTAAACTGATTTTATAAAATTTCGATTTAATGTATACATTTTTGCAAAAAAAAAACCGGCCTCATATGAGGCAAAGCCTGACCTCATATGAGGCAAATTGCCGGTCGTCTAGACACTAGAGAACAGCCATTTTGTCGCATAGGAAAGACGTACATTTCTCACTCGACATCGTCAGCCTGAACGCACAATTGAGTTCCGATGCTGCGGCCAACCTTTAGTTTCTGGTAAGCCAACACAAGTCGAGAAAAAGAAGGCGACACGTAGTCCATCTCAAGACATAGCTCACCAAGGCACTACACTGTATCACCAATATGTGCCGACGAGTCCCCGTCCCTTCTTTCAGGGCGTAATTTGGTCACAAGCTCATTTAAATAGTATAGAAGTTCTGTTTGAAGGGTTCGTGTGCACTGCCTCCCCGATTAAAACCTGCACTTCAGAGTCTGATGCGTGTCGATCAAGGACTCAATGCAACAGTGCTATTTCTTCTTCACCTTACTTGCGAAGATGAGGCATGCCATATTCCTCCATGGTCGTTTCCAGCCCCGGTTTTGGCCCGATGCCCCATCGCTTGTTTATATATATAAAAAAAACTGCTTGTATGGTGATGTCCACTCCAAATATAAAAGTCCAACGTATAAAGGTTCGAGTCTACGAGGATATAGGTAGAGTTCAGGGTTTTCTTGTTGCTTTTAAGAAAGGCATTCTTCTGAGTATATTTCAGTAACGGAAACTCCCACACAAAGCCTTGATGCCTGCTTCTGTCAATTCACCGCCATAAGCTACTTCAAACTTGCCAAAATGATGCATGTCATACCGGCGAACAGGATGCCTCCCTTTTTGTTTCAGAAATCCTGAATCGCATTCTCCTAATTACAGACTTGTCGATATTGTGGTTGCGGAATCTGCCATTAAACGATATTGATAATTGACTCACCCTTTCAAGAGTAGTTTTGCTATGTCATGGAGTCTGCAACAATGAAGGAAAGGGCACTGACCCCCTGACTTAGTAGAGATGCTCTTCTAAAAGGTTTGCCCACTCGATCGGTGTTCCATGCAACCCAATCAGAGTTGTGGTGAGCGGCCTCCAGCACGGATGCCATCAAACGAGCGGATCAAAAAGTAGGGGGCATGTGCGTAGAACATGACCAAACAGTATATGCCGTAAGGACTGACGAGAGGTCGTCGTCTTCTTCCATCCAAGTTAGTAATGGCCGTCCCTCAGATCGCCAACTCAGCAACTCAACTCACGCAAGGGTGACGTATGCTATTCTGGAGGGGTTATAGTGGAACTTGTGTCAGTTTTCTTGTGCTGTCGACTTCGATCTTGGTTTTAGACCCTTCTTATCTTTGCTTCTAAGGGCACTGACGAAGAAAATAGTCAGCCGTAACTCTTAAGAAGAGAGGTTACCTTTTTTGCGTTCAGACAGACGTGCAAGTCAGAGAGAGTAGGGCGGTGAAACAGTCCTAAAATACACCCGTTGCAGCACGTCCCTGTAGGATGTTCAGTGTGCATGACATGGAGGTTTCCCAAACATAAAAAAAAACATGAAGCGTAGGCTGGAGAATACTTGCTGTGCATTATTGGCAACTGGAGGGTGGCAAACCGGAAACAGCACTGAAACAGCAATTGCTAATTTGGTATCCATTCATTGTATACAAGCACAAATAGCGTATACACGTAACAGAACTCTGCTGGAACGCGGCCCCAAGGAGCACCTATAAGTCATTCTTCATTACATGTGCTGTTGGTGAAACGGTGATAAAGGTGTGCAGTCTGCCAGCGCACTCCGGATGTTGACAGACGGAGTTTTTCCACTCATGTAAGACGTTACGGATGAGGCGAATTGGATAAAATGTGAACGGAAGCTGGGCAATTTGAACGGTATTTCAATTATCAATATAGAATTAGAAGTTGGTATCGGCATTTATATGTAGAAAGGTGTGATGTATAGAATTTGTTGGAGGCATTTTGTCGTGTGGCAGTTTTATCATTTGACAAGGTCCTGGAGGATAGGCAGACTCGACTGTCGCGATACGTTGGGTATTTCGGTTTGATTCCAAGGTCGAAGTGAATCTATCTCGGCTGCATAAAGTGCGAAGACTACGGCTGCTGATGGAATCTTTTATACACAAGGACACAATCAGCAGTTTTTCCGAATGGACAGGAGAATGCAATTCTGTTACAGACGTCCATCCTACTTCGACACACAAGAGTTGACGGGGAGGAGGAGTTGGCGACGGCGAGGTGTGACACACGCAATGAAGATTGAGAATTTTTTTGTTATGGCATCTTGTCAGTGGTGGTACAGCAGGGGTACAGCAGTTGCCCTTGCTTTCCGGTGATGCTGTTGGACAGCAGTGACACCGATGACCGTGGTGTGTGCCATGCATTAAACTAAATTTAAGACACCCTTGTTCAAACATGCTGGCAGTGAGGTGGACTGATCCACGGTGAGGTGTACAGTGCGTGACAATGCCAAGGCACCAGTCTAAGGCGAATGGAGCTGTCAACATCACCCACGCTATTGTTTATCTTGCACGCTTTCGAGTGTTATTATTTTTTTTTTTTGCTACACTTTGGTTACATGTTATTGAAAATTTTTGTTTTTGTTTCTGCGACTCTATTGGATGAGCAGTCGGTGTTGGCCCTGACGCTGACACATGTAAGCTATGCCTCGACAGTTGTCACCTGATACGATGCACCCTCCATGCCGCCGAGTTCTTGACCCTGGCCTTTATGAGCAGAGGGAGACTCACCCCTCGCAAAAAACACCTTTGCTTCGTGTACACGTGGCAACGTACATGAGGAACAGGAAATGCTCAAGTTGGAGAGAAGAAGTGGCACGATACACGTGAGATCGCTTGCTGGCTCCGCGCAGGTCTCCTTCTGCGCAAAAAAAAGTTCGTTCGGAAACAGCCTCCGCGTGTTCTCCACACGCCGGCCGGACGAGCACAACCTTGTATTCATTGTCACCACAGACGTCCAAAGTCCCTTGTGCATTCGATGCACGGCTTGGCTTCCTCCATGGACGAGCCTCCACATCTATCCTCCGTAGACATCCGCAACACACCCATAGGACTCAGCAACTTCTTTCTCCTTTCTGTCTGTCCCACCGGCGTGGCGTCCTCTTTGTGCCGCTCCCCTTGTTTTCACACTGCAGTTACACAAGCACCCTGGGGGTGTTATTCCTCTGTTTGCAATTCCTACCGGAAATGAATTTCTCCATTTCTTCGACAACGTGTTATCATACCTGTTTCCTCTTCGAAAAAAGAAAAAAGAAAAGAAAAAGCAGGATTACTCCGGAAGCACGCCTTCTCTCCCAACAAGGAAGAAAGAGGACGCCGCCTGTTGCAACCAATTAGCGAACGCATTGTGCGTTTGAACTGAAATCTGACCGTCGCTTCCTTTCTCCACTGCGCTCGACGCGTTGTTTTGGGCCTTCACGCCCATGGGAGACGCAGTCTCCGCCGTCTCTTCTGACGTATCACTGTATCCTCACTTCTGGCCCCGTATTTACACTTGTGGTTGTCCTCGTCCCCTCCCCCTGCCCACCACACACACAATCCTAGTGTGGTAGACCCATCCATGCCGACACGTTGTACGTCCTAGTATGCATGAGTCCTCCACCCGCCTTATTTATTACTCCTCCCCAACCCATCCCTCGCCAAGAAGTTTCTCCGCCGCTCTACTCTAATGCTCCACTCTTATGGCACGTCAGGAATCGCATCCCCCTCCGCACTCGCTTCGTCCTCTTTCGCCTTGCCTTTGACGCCCAAGATGAAACTACAGCAAGAAGAGAAACTTCTCTTCACAATTTCGTCGCTCTGTCTGTGGTAAGGTAAGTCTTGTCTGTTGCAATTGCTCGTCGGCATAATCTATCCGATACTAGCCCAGGAAGTGCATGCGCCTACAGAAACTCTCTCTTCTACTTGCAAACTTGCAAAACTTGCACGCTTGCATACTCGTACGCTGCAATGCGACATCTCTCCTCTGTGCTTGGCAAGAAGAGAGAGGAGCATGCGCGGACACAGAAGAGAAAAGAAAAGGAAAAAACCAACGTAAAAACAAAACAAAAAAACGATTCATGACTTGACGTCCAGTCGTGGATACTCGCCACATCATTGTGCCGTTTCTGCCTACTGTACCCTTCGCAGGGTACCTGCCGGCCCTCTCGTATTTCTTACGAACAAAACTTTTCGAGTCCACTCACTCACTCACTATCAAAACGCCATTGCCACGAGATAGTCGCGGCCGAGCGCGAATCCCGACCTCGAAAAAAGATAAAATATCTCCTGGTTGCCGGCGGGGGGCACCCATTCATTGTCAGGGGCGAGCCCCTTGGCCCTCCTGTCTCCGCCTCTTCATTTCCGCGGCCCCTGTTCGCAGTTGTGTCGAATCGCAAGCCCATAATTCCTTTTCGTTTACGTATACAACTAATAGCTCTCGGTGCAGCTCAACCGCCTCCTCTGAGCGTACGTCTCATTAGCGCGATTCGTTTTCGCTATCAGCGACCGACACCCGATTGAGCTCGCCGCTTCGCGGCCAGCGGACGGCCAGCCGCATTCGGTCCGTCGGAAACCGTGCCCCTCATCGCCCACGCTGTCGCCATGATGGCGCCCGCGCGTGCCCGACTACTGGCTTGCAAGCCACGCCCTACAGTTCGGGACAACAGATTTGGGCGAATTATATTTTGTGCACGCAAGTGGCAAACTCTAATCATATGATACTGCGTGTCAATTTCGCCATGTGGCGCCCGCGCGTGCCCCGACTACTGGCTTGCAAGCCACGCCCTACAGTTCGGGACAACCGATTTGGGCGAATTATATTTTGTGCACGCAAGTTGTAAACTCTAATCATATGATACTGCGTGTCAATTTGCTGTTTTTTCCCTTATTCCTGCAAAACTCACGTCAAAAGCCACTTGCTCCGCTTCTATTGGCTAAAAATCTGCTCCATATGTCACCGACCCATTTCTGCTTACATAAGGATCTCCCATTTTTAAATTCCATGTGACGGGTCTAAATTGTGCAAGTCTTATCTTCACTCTCGAGTACATGCCGTCCGAAGGGGGCGGCATGTACTCGAGAGTGAAGATAAAGTCTGTCAAAGACTCAAACGCATTTGACAAAGGTGTGTGTGAGCTCGCCGACATACAGTACAGTAGGACCTTCATTACGTATTCCCTCGACAGCCCAGCCTAGGTTTCTCATTTCTCACCACTCCACCTGCTCTATCTTACGCACTTCCAGTGTTCAATGGTCCGTATAACTTCTGCCAAAATGCAGTACTTATCAATCGGTGCATGATTACACCAACGCCCAAATTTCCCAGCATTGGTCATGCTGACGTCTGCGGACGAAGAGAGTTCGCATCTGCGATGGCCACCACCTCCACTGATGCGCGCGCATTATCGTCGACCTCATGCCCTTCCGTGTTTCCCGCTAGAAGTACAGTAATTTAAAATGCGTCATTTATGACATTTGCAATATTCCGCGCACTATTCTATTTACAGTGTCACAATTTCTCTTCGTCTGCTCTTTGTTGTCGCTATAGTACTGTACTCTTAGTCCCCTGGTGGAGTCCCTCAACAGTCCAGCGCCAGTCGCTTTCAGCTCATTGGTGCACAATCAATTAAACCACAGTTTTTATATTATATTTGCTATTCGCGCTTCAGCGGAACACACGCAATGCTCTCGCCGACACTATCGTACACGCAATTACTCGGCCATCGCGACTTGGGCCCTTCAATTTCAACACCTGCGGGATCAGGGGATACAGGGTTCAGGAGGAATGCCATGCAATGCACGCTGTTTCCAAGACTAAATCACCTTACAGTGCCGTCAGACACAGGCCAACAGAGCGTGTCGAAGTATAATTGATGAGCTGACTGCGATACGATTCTGTCAAGCCACCAGCCCGTGTTCTTTGAAAGACGTGCCTTGCTATCCTCAAAGAAGCCCAGGGAATAATTGGCGAGCACAAAGAGGTAAAGAAGAAAAAAGCGGAAGACGCAAACAATGTCACCACGTGCAACACACCGTTCAATTGCTACGATTAAAACAAGACCGAACTAGACAACAAAAAACAGTGTCAGCACAGCCGAAGTCACAAGGCTGGATACGATCGGCGCTTTTCTTGCCTTCCTTTAACTTTTCTTCGACGGGATGGGGATGTGGTGCATAGATTGCTGGTGTTTCAGCAGATGCGTCTTCTGCTTGTAGAACGTGTTACATTTGTCACAGCGATATGGGCGAAGCTTGAGATGGACGTTGTTTACGTGACGTCTCAACCCGTCGGAAAAATTGAAAACCTTGTCACATTCCGTACATTTGTGGTCGCGCTGGTTCAAATGGGCAGCAATGCGATGCTTGGAACGATTGCTCTTCTCCGCAAAGCTCTTTCCGCATATGTCGCAGTCAAACTCCTTGATTTTCTGATGAACGACGCGAACGTGCTTACGCACAGAGCTGGAGTCACCAAACGTGCGACCGCATTCCTCGCATTTGACGTCCTTGCGCTTCCTCCGCTTCGGCTTGAGGGGCTGCGTGACTTCGCCACGGCTGGGGGAGGTTCGACCTGAGTCCGAGCGGCTGTGAGCACGCGTCTCAGAGGAGGAGGTGGCGGAGGGCTGGTAGGCCTGGACGTAGTTCGCCGCCTCGAGAAGGCGTGCAAATCCAGCCTGTGTTGAGTCGGTGTCTGAGGACGAGGGCGCACGAGGGGCCTTCGGGTGGCGGTTTGTCCTGGAGTAGGGACGGATCGCATGGTTGAAGTCTGAGGACGCCGAGGGGGAGTTGAGGACGTAGTCAATGCTTCCCTTAGTTGTCTTTGAAAGATCTCTGACCATGTGGGTTGTGAGGGTGGTGGGTGATAAGTGAGGCGTGTGGAGAGCTGGTGCTTTTGAGGATAGAGTTGTGGGAGAGACTAGGCACAGAGAAGAGAAAGGTTGGAGAAGATGAAGGGTCAAGAGAAGATTGCGGTGGTGGAGGAGTAGAGAGAATGACAAGGTGCTACTTTTATAGTGGGTAGCGTGCTCTGGTAGGTCACTGGAATCTGTCAGACTTACATCGTCAGGCTGACGCTTTCTTTCCATCATGGCGCTGTCTGCGAGAGTATGATGAGGTGAGAAGAAAAAAAACCCCTATAGGCAAGCCGTCGAAATGTAGAGAAATGGCAGTCTTTTTGAGAATTAAAAATATTGTTCTTGCCTCGCTGGCCAATGATGATTCTGCAATTGCACCCACGGGCTTATTGGTACTGTAGAAACGCGCCTTGTGGTGTCCTCAATCTGGTTTCGAGACCGCTCGACTCATCCGGAAAATTGTACACGTCGACGCCTATTCGCATGGAGAGGTCACCCAATCTCCGCGCCGCCCCTAACCTCCCATACCTCTTTGTATGGCACAGCAAAGTCTGCGTTCAGGCTGTCGGAGCAACTGCCGCGTAACTACTGGAGTATGCCGCCGCCTCCATCCCATCCAACGGTCACTCGGCTTCTTGACAACGCTGTCGCCTACTTGTAGATAACTCCTTGAGCTCTCCACTCGCACGTCCTCTCCCCAGGGGTCCAGTTGTAAGCTCGTTGATGGATACGCCGCAACATCCTGAAACCAAGTCCCCTTTCTCCAGTGCCATCCCCTGGCTGGGGACGCCCGTCGTCGCAGGGGGCGCCCTTAGTCAATCGCAAGCGACCTGGGTAGGGTTTTCGAGACGGTTTCAGGAGCCATCTATTTTTCATGACACGATGGAGAGAGGCCCTTCTCGTTTCGCTGCGACCAATCAACGGCCACCACTTCCTCAATCCTCGGCGGCATTTCGGAGGCTGCCCTTCTGCCACTCAGATGTCACCAAGCGCCAGAAGATTCTAGAAATCAATAGAAATGCTGGTTTATTAGTATGCTTACGCTGAACAATTTGCTTGCAGATACACACTCAATGCTGCACGCTCACCGCCATTCTCATCTACGCTGACCAAGCCCTACTTCGGCTGGTCGTATCAAATCTTCTCCTTTGGCCGCTCTCAGCTTTGTCTTGATGATTAACGTACCGCCCCAAAGCTGTCTTACACGACTGCTCATTATGTCCAGTACCCAAAGCAGTAATTTTTGTGCTCTGCACTGTATGTTTGTGCGTAGCACTAGTGACGGGAATCACAAGCCTGCACTGATATCGCTGTCGTTGTTGTTCGTTACCATGATGCTGGCATCTTTGTCACTGCCTCTCAAGTGTTTCCATATCTCACACTTCACGGGGCACTTGCCAGGGACAATGCTGAGCCGGACACAGCGCGCACAGCTCACACTTGCACACTAGAAGTATGATACATGTAGACATATTTGTGTGTGCAACTCTGTTCCCAGTGCAGGCACAGGCCCCTCCATCACAAAAGTGAGATGGACGTTGCTATCAAAGATATCACCGTGAGCTCGTTTGCTGTACACTACGGTGCAGTATTACACGTCAAGTACTGGACATCAAGTACTGGACATCAAGTACTCCACGGCCGCCCTCCCCTACGACAGGCTGAGTTGGAGGGATGTGGAAGATTGTGGTGTACTCATTGCATGGACACGGTGTATGGCAAGGAGAGGTTTGTACACTGCTTTCGAACGAATGCTACTTGTAGCATATATAGGTACCACCTTGCTCCTGGTGCGGTTGTACGTGAGAGCAAGGCTGTTGCGACACCCATGGCAAGATCCTCGATAGCACCAATGTCGCAAAGGGTCTATCGCAAAGGACGAGGTTCCAAGCATGCCTTGATCGCTCGTTATGACAAGAGCGGCCGAGAATAGGTCGGGGAAACCGAACGATAGCTAGCCTGCACGACGCGGAGCGTCGTTGTTTTGTTGTACGGTTCGCATCCGGGAGGGGTTCTGTACGGGCCCCGTACACGTCAACCCCGTACAGTACTACGGGGTTGGCGTGTACCTGTACTATCTGGGACTCTGGTTGGCCATACTGTAGATCGAAACGTGTCACCGTCACCGGGAAATCCAGTGCGCGTCTTTTGCGTATCGTTTTGCATCCGGCCCGCGTGAAGCGCCCTTTTTCCGGGCCCGCCTCCCACGAGCCCGGGTGAACGGATTTGCGCTGCCGGCTGCGCTCCCCGGTGATCTCACACACACGGGTGCCACCCGTGTCTGATCACTTGGCTCCATCTTTTGTGCCCAGTCGCACTGTGCTGTGCTGTCGCGCGGTAGGGATTGCAAGTCTCTAATCTAGATCTATATTTACAACCACGGAGAACCCGCGTGAGGGCGTGATCACTTGCTCCGGGCAGTGAAAAGCGTCTCCGCCCATCACGTGCTCGACACACGCCTGGCACAGGCCGCAGGCCATTTGCTACACGCGCACCGCCGCAGAGGCCTCCCGTTCTACCTGGTACAGTAGAAACGCCTTATCCTTTTGCGCTGACGCCTCCTCCTCTCCCCCCGCCCGCCTCGGTGACACCTGTGCAAAATCACGCGCGTTCGATTGCGTGTGCCGCCCACGCGCGCCCGCCCTCGTCCTCGGAAACATTTGCGTCCTCGTGGAAATACAGTGAATCCTCGCTAACTGCCTATGAAAAGTGGAGGGTTTTTCGTATGCAGTTGGCTTCCGCCCTGTCTCGATCTCCGCTCGCTCAATCCCCTTGTGCGCCACGTGTGATGACCGACTTTTGAAAGCAGTGCTTACACTCCCGCAAATCTCCGGCCTTTTTCTCACACGAGTCGAGCTGCGCCCCAGGCACGCGTGTCTATCGCGTACGCATGCACTCGTGGAATGCCCTCCATGCCGCCTTATAATGCAGTTTCCCCCCCCCGTCGCGGGAGTGGGAACATTAAACCATCTAGAACGACGTCTTGTCTTCCTCTGCGCGACCTTTATAAAAATCTTTACCAGGAGGCTGCGTTTTTTCTTGGAACTTCCAACAGTACTGTGCATTTGCACTGCGACCTATTGCCAGCACTCCACAACCCGTGGAGGTCTTGGGATCGATGCCTCTTTAGAGGGACAGCTGACATTTCCCACAAGGTACTGTGTCACAGTACCACAGACCCCACGATACATCGCGGGAACTACCTACGCCCTATGCATCACCTCAAATTCTCCGTCAACAGTGCGTACGGGAGCACTCCATTAACTTGGCGATATCTATCGCCTTGTCGATTGCAACATGTAACAAACTCTAACTTGTACCTCCGTGATGCACAGATATCATGCGCAGCGCAAGCACCCGGTCCTCGCACTCTGACGCTGACGAGAGTCGTCATCCTACACATTTTTCGACGCACGGCAGTCCTCACCACACTGTGTCTTCTGAGTAACGAACGACCGCCCCTCGCACTCTTGACGCTGACGCGAGTCCTCATCCTACAGAAACGTTTCGAGTTAACTTTGTTTGTTCATGTGCCCCGCTAGAAGCTTCCTACACTTTGTCAGGTAACTTATCCATCTACCGAAGTTACAGGCACCGCCCCTTTCGCGAAATGGCGCGAAAGAAAAGCAAAATCATCGTTGTACATAGAGAACCATTTCTGCAGAATGTATGAGAGCTATGGAGCACAACGCCTCCGTCTGTCCCATGGAACGCTGTCATCATGTAGGGAGTACTGGGTACAGTAGTAGGCTTTGTGGATCGCTCAATCTAAACGTCATCACCAGAGCACAACGCTACTCGACCCCCCAGGATGCGGACGAGAACACACTGTTGTTACCCGTCTTTACGTTCAATCAACGGGACAACGTGCCTTTCTGGAATTGGATGAGCGCGTGCTTGATTTGGAACCGCCACCGATCTATCTTTTTTATGATAATAAACAGTCAGTCACTGCAGCAAGGGTGGAACATCACCAAAAGAGCAGAGATACTACCGTGCCCTATCCTGTGCTGTATCGAGATTCTCAAGTCGAAAATGCGGCCACTCCTACCGTCGCCCAACAGCACATTTTGGTTTACTCTCTCTCTCTCTCTTTCTCTTTTCCGCTACCTTCCCTCGGAGAGTATGCAGTAGTTGGACTGTCTCTAGGACACGTCGGCTGCAAACCATTCGAATGCGTAGCAATACCGAAAGGAGAAACCGTGGAGCGAGTATTACGTACAAAAACCAGCCGCACTTCAGCTCATGACCACATTTTTGTCAGCAGCAGATAGAAACATGAGGGGCGAGAGCTCAATGCCTTGCATGATTCCGATATCCGGGTGTGTGCAGTATGCATGCGCACGTGCCAAAGCGCGAGATGAGTCTACCACCGGCAGCGAGACTCCTACTCTTCTGTGTTTCGGCCTACTTTGCTGTAAATGTTTGTTTAATTATTTGTGATTTGTTTCTTCGGTTTTTTTTTTTTTTTTTTTTTTTGCGTATCTTATCGAGACGATCATGTGAGGAACTAAAAGACTGTGCATTGTCAAAGGCATCGTTTGGTGAACTGGAATCTGACCCGCATATATGTATATTCCCTTCTGCGAAAGTAGGAGGAGTTTCTGGAAGAGACTGTAAACGATTTCACATGCATTAAATGGAAAGAGGGATGAGATAAAAAGTAAAAAACAGCTGGGATGAATACATAAATAGATATCAGAGACAGTATTGGGTTCAATAAAAACTTTTAAAGAGCACCTTGAGGAAAATTTCCTGCCTGCGAAGTTGAATATTCTCTCCCTGTAAACCTTTGTCAGTCTGGAGAGGTTCGAGAAATTTGACGAGTTATGAACACAAGCGACGAGCTGACACGAGGACTGACGCAGCTGTCGCCCACCGCGGCCGCCGTTGGAATTTGTTTACAGGTCGTCAAGAAGGGAGAATAGTTTCCTGGAACTAGCCGTGGATGCAGAACCCTCAGCAAGACGTTCGCAATTTTTTCGCCATACTGATCGCTACAAAAACCTCTGCACCTGATCGCCCCCCCCCCCCCCCCCCCCCCCCCCAAATGCAACATTATCTCCAAAAAATATCATCCGCCAGATTTTCAACATGCTGGCAAAATATCATTCCAAACCTTATGAAGCCAGCAAAAGAGTAAAATCCGCCAATCCAGTGCCAGGGGTTCCTGCACTATCACATTGATTTTTATGTTTTTGTTTTGCAGGGTGCTTGCGTTATCCCCACGAAGACTTGCCCTGAAAAGCCCCACAAGTAAAGAAATTATTCCGTTTTCTAGTTATTCCCTCTGTTATTCCTCAGGAGGTTCGGGGATATGCCCATTTGTTTTTTTTGCTGTTGTCAAGACAACAGGCAAACATATTCGACCTCTACTTTATACCTGCCGCGCTTTATTTTCCTTCCTTCGGTTGACAGAATTGCATTCTTTACACTCCAGGATTCAGAAACTTCTAGTGCTAGACGCCTGGGTCTGACACAGGGTATGTACGCAGTGATGGACACTTACCAAGGATTTTTTCTGATTCTCCAGGAGTATCTTCCTGACGCCCTTTCCTCCTCGCCCAGAAGTGGCCATTTGCGCTGGGTTAAGAGTTGGGAGCCATATTTTTACCCCCATCTCACGCGCTTGTTCGGCACTGGTATCGATGTATCAGGGAGACACGTCCGCATATCCATGAGCACAGTACTCCTACTACATCCTAGGAACTGGTTTTTATCCTAGTACAGCAATGACTGGCTGAATTGTACAAAGTTTCAGTTCCGTTCCTCTTCCAGTTCCCCTCCAGAGAGACCAGCAGCTTTGCTCTTTGCAACAGGGCTGAACATGTCATCTACAACACAGGAGTAACTGCTGATTGACCGTGTTCCGCCGACTGCACTGTCATGTTGCATTTTCTTACTCTTTGATCGCTTGTACTCAAACTGCTTGAGATTACATGTTTCCCACGTGAGCATAGCGATTCTAGGAAGCCCTCCTTCCAGGTTGGAGAAGGCGCACCCAATGATGATAGATTCGAAAGCGACCGAAAAATGTACAACAGGCTTAAAGCCCTGCTTTGCTGAAAACCCCAGCGTGGTCACCCGCCCGTCTTCTCCGGCAACAAGCAATAGATTCCGATCTTCGTACACGTCAATGCTTGTAATGGCCTTCGTGTTTGTCACCACAGATGCTAAAACAGCTTTATGCTCGGTATCGTGAAATGTTATGCATCCAGACCCGTGTCCCCCAATGACGACTTTATCCCTCACACCAAGTGACGTGAAGAAATCGTCTTTCATATGATACGTGTATGCAGTCGAGACACAACACTGCAGTTTGGTACTACCATCGCTCTCGGGCTCCTCTCTAACCGACCAGACTGTCAAGTTGCCAGCTTGGTCTGACCCTGCAAGAAGGTCTGACTCCCTACGGTCTCCAGCAAGGCAGACAACCGGGTGAGTCAAATCGGTCATCGTACAAATGCGAGTGATTCCACCTGACTTTGTTTGTCTATACTCAACTCCATGAACCGAACCGGTGTCAGTGCCGCAAAAAAGAATTGGGCCCCTTTGATCTAATGAGGCCTGAGCTATCCCCCTGGCGAACTGGACCTCTTTGGCATCATCTTGTGCATCCGTGGTAGTAAGGAGTGCTTCCTTTTGCAATTCACTCAGCTCACGACGAAAAATTCGGGTCCCCGTGCCTCGGGCGAGGCTCCACACTTGCATTGTTGCCGGAGTTTTGATAGTTGATTCCGTGGTAATAGCCAGAAGAGGGCCATTGAAGGTTTCAACGCCCGTCCACCAGTGAATAGACGTGACATTAATCTTCTCGCTGTTGAAAATGTTGCATCGTCAGTGAGTGGGAAGGACTTGATTGTTGACAGTTGGCAATGAAAACGTAGTTGAACATACAAGTTGGCAAGCGAAAAGTCATTCCGTTTAGAAGAGACGGCCATGCGTCTAATGAAGCGCACACGGTGTCCTTGGACAAAGGCAAGTCTTCCATCGCCATCTGCTGCAAGGTTGTTTGCCATAAAAGAAGGCGCGATTGAATTGCTGGCTTCAAAAGTTGGCAATACTACCCATGGCATGACTGGCAGAAACAAATCGTAGTCGGTAGAAAGTGTTTGGGCGTAGAGAAGGACGGGTGTTTCTACTGTCGAGCGGGAGGTACATCAAGTGGAGAAAATGCTCAATGCAATGGAAGGCAATTGACAAAATCTTTATATTAATAAAAGAATGGAATGGATTTGTATATAGTTTTTAAAAAACAAAGGCGACAAGAAGAAGACGAATGGAGCCGAAATCGATGACACAGTAGTTGGTGTATCAGTAAGGGGACGGTTTTTATGTGCACTCGGCAGGTATCACTGTTAAGATACCAAGAGAGAAAGTCTCGGGCATACAGATGTCAGGGGAGAAAGGCCCATATGTGTTTGAAAGGGAATGGAACGTTTTTCAGGAAATAAGAGGGCCAAAAAAGGGCGAAACTAGAGAAGGTGCTGACTTCAGATGGTCAGTACACGATGCCCCTGCCTTTGAAGGCAGGGGCATCGTGTACTGACCTTATAACAGACAGAATTCTGAACGCGGCCGCGGATCAGATGATCTCCTGCCTGAAAAGAGCGTCTTTTAAACGCTGTCTCCCAGCAAGGCCTCAGTGTTGTGCGTTTCAACAATGTCGGCCCACCTGTAGAATACGACATGCGAAGGCAAGGACACGCAGTCGGGTTAAACCCCGACAACCTTAATGGCATGCGCTGTTGTCCGACTGAACGATGATCTATCACGCGTGTAATTTGCACAAATTGCTGCAGACATAAAACCAGCCCATGTTCGAATCGCGATCCACAAATCTAGATTCAACTTCCAAGAGTCTATACATTGGTCCACTTGGCGCGACATCTATGATCAAGAAACCACTCAACGGCTTCCGCCAGCCAACGAACGGCGCCGTCTCCCGCGTCGTCCCCGCCATCTCATGCCCGAACTCTACTGATCCCCCGCCGCAACCAACCCCCGAGATACATACTCTCTTCTTCGCCGAGCCTGTCCTCCCGCCCCCTTTTTCCTTGCCGCACCACCACCCCATCCCCCCCCCCCCCCCCGCAGCCCGCGCACCACGCAATGCCAGCACCCGTAATGCGCCGCCCCGCGCTCTTCGTGGCCCCGCTTCTCCTCCCCGCGCGGCACGCTGCGGGGCCGCCCCTGTGCGCGGCAGCGGCGCCGACGTCGCGTCGCGCGTGGAGCGGGCGTGCAGTGCTCTTTTTGCGCGCGGGCGCGCGGTTCCCCGGTGCGCCCGAGTCTGCAAGACGCGGCGTGCGCATGTTCGACGACGCGGGCGGCGACGCGCCGGAGGGCCTGCCGGACGACCCGGACGACGCCCCGGAGGCGGTCGTGCTGCGCGACGCGGAGACGGGGCGCACGCTGTCCTGCGGGGTGGAGCACGTCGTGGAGCACGAGGGGGACACGTACTTGCTGTGCTACCCCGTGCATGACGTTGTGATGCTCGCCAAAACGGGGCCGCCGGAAGCAGAGGAGGAGCTCGTCTCGCTGGATGACCGGGAGCAGATCGACGAGCTCTTTCCGGCCGCGGAGAAGGTGCTCCTGGATGATGCCATGGTGCTCAGGAATACGGGCTTCTTTTTGACCATGGATGATATGAGGGAGGTGCTCGATGACGATGAGGGGGAGGAAGAGGAGGAAGAGGAGGACGACGAGGTTGAGGTTATTACCGACTTTGAGTATGAGGGGGAGACTTTTTTGGTCGTCAGACCCGTGTTTCCGGTCTTTGTCATCGCCAAGGAGGTGGGGGACGACTTGGTTGTCTTAGCCGGCGAGGAAATGGAGAGAATATCTGCTATCGTCGACGAGAAGATGATACTCGAGCTTGCAGCGGACGCCGGGGGGCCCAATTAAAGGGGGGAAGGGTCCCGACGTTTGTGTGTGTCACTTTATTTGCCCGTCCTTGTCGTCTGGCTGAGGCTCATCAGTCAGTTGCAGTGTGGCCTTTGCTTGCCTTGTCAATGTTGTGCTGTGCTTGGTGAAAGGGTGAAGCCGTCAAGGGTGGCAGTTTCTACACCATCCCGAAGCGGCCCGCCCCCCCTCACTTATGCTCTCTTCCGCTTCCGCGGTGTCACGGCCTCGCGCCTCACGCTCGACAATGCCGTCCCAACATGTCTCATCAATGCGTCCAGCACGACCACCGATCCGCGATAGTAGGGCAACTGCAGCCACAAAATCACCACCATCTTCCCGTGATACCACAACGGCAACCATCCCACTACGTCCACGCACGCCGCAAGCATCCCTTCCACCGCTGCAATCACGGTCCAATACGCCAGCCAATTATGCCTCGCCTCCCCGTTCACAGGCCCCTCCAGCATGGATGTCGTCAGATACACGGGCACCAACATTCCGACCAGCAGCGTCCCGAGAAACGTCGCGACGCGCGGCGTGATGAGGAAGAAGACCCCGGTCAGCGCCAGCCCGCTCTCCGCAATCATGCCCGTCATGTCGATCAGGCGCTCCGGCCGCAGCAGGTTAGCTGCCACTGCCATGCGCAGAAACATGTTGGCCGTCTGCGTGCGGTCCCTGCCCCCACGTCGCCACCGCCGCCGGGCCACGCCGGCAACCAGCCCGTACACGATTTCGGCGCCCTTTGTTATCCCCAGTTGTGCCCAGATGAGCACGTAAAGTAAAGTGATGTCCAGGCTCTCAATTGCGCCTTTCAACATACTCGGTACAAAATACCACACTATAGAGCGTGCAGTCCACACAAGGCCGAAGGTGACCCAGAATTTCAGCGCCGCCGGTTCGCTCGCCTGATAGTTGACAGGGTCGTCGGCATCCCTTTTGCTACTCCGCCGTCTCCGCGGTGGCGTAAGCGGCTGGTTTGTAGCATCAGAGCGTCTGCTCTTCTTCTCCTCGCTCGCCGGGCTGAGGCGCACATTGGAAGGACTACGCGGCGGCCTCAAGTTGGCGCCAGACGCCTCGTTCTCGACCTCAAACGTGATCTGTCGTTGCAGGCGCGTGCGCGAGCGGGTCTGATACGGCTCGCTGTGCGGAGTAGAAGGCCTCCTCCTCCTGACGTTCCCGCTACCCGGCGTCGTTTCGAGGGTCTCCACGGCCACTTCCGGCCCGTCGAGGAGCTCCTCCTCCTCTTCCTCCTCCTCATCGTCTCGCAGCGGCCTCTTGTTCTCGATGTCGATGGCGTAGAGCAGCTTGACGGTGGTCCACGCGGGCCTAGCGATGGAGAGGAGCAGACCCGTGGCGCCGGTGGCCTGGGCCATGACTAGCGCGCCAACGCCGCGGTGGAAGACGAGGACGGCGGCGGCGAACAGCAGGTGCGGCGGCGCGACAGCGGCGAGGCGCCACTGGCGGCGCACGGCGGCGATGGCGGAGCGGTACCGGGAGCTGACGGCGGCGGAGGCGCGCGCGGCGAGGCGCGCGGCGGCGGCCAGGGCGCCGAAGTGGCGCTCGAGCGCCAGCAGCGCCAGCAGCGCGAAGGCGACGGCGGCCTCGGCGGCCAGCGCGCGCGCAGGCTGCGCCACGAAGAAGCGCCACAGGCGCGAGAGCAGCGACGAGAGCAGCGGCGAGAGCAGCGAGGAGAGGGAGAGGAGGAGGGAGAGGAGCGGGCGGAGCAGGTGCAGAAAGAGGCGTGCGTAGAGGTGGCAGAGGGACAGGGTAGAGAGAAGCGCCTCGCGGAAGAGAGGCAGCACGTCGGCTAGGTAGCGCCGCGACTGCCGGTACACCAGCCGCCCGGCTTCCAGGTACTCCATGGTTGGGCAGCGCGGGCGGGGTGCCGGAGGGGGGGGGGGACAAGGCGGGGGTCGGTGAGGTTGGTAGGCAGGGTGCGTGTTTGCGGGACGCTGGGCGAGGGGGAGGATGCTGACAACTCGTTAGGACTCGGAAGGCAAAAGACTTGGTGTTGTGCATTTTTGATCCAAATTCCCGCTCAAACTAGAAAAGTGCGTTCTTTGCTCCCTCTGGTGCGTCTCTCGACAGTTGGCATTGTGCGCGTGGGCCAGTGCGCACAAACATCTACGGCAGACGTCAAGCAGCAATTCATCAGTGGGCGGTGCAGGCCTCTGCAAAAGCTAACCTGAAGCAAACAGCGAGCAGGATGCAGGTGAGGGGATACTGGAAAATTTCGGCAGCGGTTCGGCAAGTCTTGAAAGCGCCACTAAGCGCATATCGGTTGTCTAGATGCAACATCTCAACTTTGCAAGACATGATCACGGGGCGCTTGTTTTGTTCAAACGCGCTCCTCTTCGGTTGTAAATCTGGGCAACACTGCTACCGCCTGAGAACTGTTGTATTTACAAGTACCTCTCTACTCACACCGTATCGCTACAAGTTTCAATCGGTAGACTCTCCGCCTTCAGTCGTTTCGCGGGAGCCTCGTCAGAGTAAGGCTTACCCGTTGTAACTGAAGCACCCGCTGCCTCCTCGCTTGTATTGACCGCGACAAAAGTATTCTCTTCCTTCTTTGCCTCCACCACAACCATCTCGTTCTCAGCTTTGCTTGCGGCCCGCACTCTCTTCTTAGACGCGAGTCCATTAGTAACACTCTTTGCGCTCGGTTTTCGCAGGACGTAGTCTTCTCCCTTTGCGAGACAAGTTTCCATCTTCTCACACTTGATCTTCTCCTTCTTCTTCTCCACCTTGCCCACTCTTGCCTTCCGCTTTTTCACCTTACGCTTTCTCCCCTTCCCCCCCGCCGGTTTCCCGTCTCGCGCCTCTGCCAAGCCCTTGAACTCGGCAAGCTCCCCGACAAAGAGCATTGTCTGCGCCAGCCCCGCGTCCTCCTCGCCAAACCGCGCTCTAAAAAAATCGCCGACCTGGTCGTAGACCCTCTCCGTGAGCGACTTCTGCTTCAGCTCCGGCATATACCTGGACGTTGCGATCTGCCAAATGTGCGTGTCGCACGGGATCTCTCCGAGCTGGTCGAGCGAGAACAGCGCCGCGCAGCTGGCCACCTTCCTGCCGACGCCGGGGTACTTGACCAGCCTCCGCGCCACCTCCTTGCGCGGCAGCGCGCGGTACGAGCACAACAGCTCCTCCGCGGACAGGCCCGCCTTCGCAGCGTCGTCGTGCAGCATGGCCGCCGTGCCCACCACAAACTTGGCGCGGTACCCAAACCCGTCCTCCCGCAGGGCCTCCTCCGTGGCCTCCGCCGCCAGCACGTGCACCGGCGGGAACACAAAGTGCGGGCGGCCCGCATGCTCGCCGACGCTCTCCCCGTACCGCGCGGCCAAGCGCGTGACCATGGCCGCGATGCGCTTGACGTTGTTGTTGCTGGAGCAGATGAAGCCGAAGAGGCACTCGACGGGCTCCTGTCGCACGACGCGGCAGCCGCGGTACACGGGGAACGCGGTGTTGTACGCGGGGTCCGCGTGGCAGAAGCGCTCGACGGCGCGCGTGTGGTCGACGGCGAGGCGGAAGTAGTCCCGCACGACGGCCTCTGCGCCGCGCGGCTCGCCGGCGGCGACGCGCCACCACACGGGGTCCGGCGCGGCGTCG